ATATCTAATATACTAAATATATATATATATAAATCTCTTTAAATTTTTTTTTGTTTTTCAAAATTATATTTATAATTACAGTCTTAATATTATTTGTGTTTATTTTCATCAACAAAAAAAACAAACAAAAAAAACCAGAGGCCATGGCTTCGTCCCAATCCTCTATGTTATCAAATGATGGACACAACAAACGGGACGACTGTCTGTCTAATACAGAGATATATTTATAGATAAATTTATTATAATAATCCAAGTGTTAGATACAGATGGTATACTTTATATACAGTTTAATTTTGTTAAATTATTTATTATATTTTGTTAGTTATTTTGAAATAATTATAGTTAAAAATAAATAAATAAATAAAACTATAATTTTAATTATTATTTAACACACGACACACTCAATTCAATAGTATTTATATAAAATAAATAAAAGATTAGCTAAAATATAGATTTGAGTCATTAGTATAATCATATCAATATGTTTAACAATTAGATTTAAATTCTATTATATAACTATTATTTCATTTGTAATATATTTAAAAATATGAATTAAATAAAATAAAATAAAAAACACTGTTAATCGCAATTCAATTTAATTTTTATACATTAATATCTATATTATAAATAGTTTTAATAACTATATTAACAGTTTATTTGATTTCAAAATTTAAAAAAATAGTATAATATTTAAAATTATAAATAAATAAAAAATAATTTAACTTTAATTATTATTAACATATTAACTAGATTTAATAATCGCTTAATTTTAAATAATTAGTGTTTGTAATAATCTATTTTCATCAAAAAATATATTTATAGTTAGAAATGCAAAAATTATTAATAAATTAGTTATTAATAATAATTTTTTATTATTATTATAATTAAATTTATAAATTGTTGTACAAATTATTGTAAATCTGAAGGTAATCTAGGATATCCACGTAAGCAAAAATAATTTAGAAAAAATAATATAGTAAATAAAATTAATAATATATATATAAAAAAAATCAAATATAAAATTGTATGTTAAAAGTATCCTAATAAAATTTATTAAAAATTAATATATAATATAATAAATAAATTTGCTAACTATTTTTACAGTTTGTTAGTTTTATAAAAAAATGCAAGTAAAATTTATTATAAATATATAATATAATTTAAAATTAAAATAATAAATCAATTGTATTATAGTAAATTTAAATATATTTGCTAATAAAATTTAATGTAACTGTAATTTATTTCTTATTTAATTTGTTTTTATAGCTTAATTGAAAATAGATTGTAAAAATATCAAATATTATTAAATATTTATAACAAAATTGTTTTTTATGTAATCTATTTTCTAAAAATTTAATATCCATTTTGATTCAATGAGTGACTAATAAAATAATTGTATTTAAAAACTATTTAATCATTTATAAATTCATAAATAATACTAGTTTAACCCGCGCAACATGTATAGCCGTGCAATTCTTTTACTAATTTTATAATATTCATCAGATTGATGAGACTTAATTTGTTTATACAACTACTACATAGCCTAATGTAACAAAACTACTGAACCAATGCACATTAAATCGACTAAACTTTTGAAATTTTAGTTTTTATATATATTTAAATAATTTTAATAAAAATTGAAAATTTAATCATTTTTGCGAAAAAAATTTGCATTTGAAAAAAAATTTACAAAAATTTAGCACAGGTAGCTTACCTCCCGGTGCCCTGTAACTCATATAATATAGCAAAGTGTAATTACACAACACCTGCCTACCTGTCCCTAAAATCTACCTGAGCTCAATAAACGTTTAAAATAACATTGCTTTAAATAATAATTGAAAATTTTAACACAAATTGGAAATTTTTGCATTTGAGAAAATTTTACAAAAATTTAGCACAGGTAGCTAACCTCCCGGTGCCCTATGACTCATATAATATAGCAAAATTGAGTAACACAACATCAGCCTACCTGAGTCTAAAACCTACCAGTGCTCAATAATTATTTAAAATTTCTCATAGAAATAACATTGTTTTCAATAAAAATTGAAAATTTTAATACAAATTGAAAATTTTTGTATTTGAGAAAATTTTACAAAAATTTAGCACAGGTAGCTTACCTCCAGGTGCCATGAGACTCATATAATATAGCAATATGTTATTACACAACACCTGCCTACCTGTCCCTAAAACCTACCTGAGCTCAATACTCATTTAAAATTTCCCATAGAAATAACATTGCTTTAAATAAAAATTGAAAATATAACAATATATTTTTAGCTTTGAATTAAAAAATGGTTGTTGAGGAAGTGTGCACACATACAAACAAACAGACAAAACTATTATATTAAATTATAGATAATAGAAGATATTAAAAATTAATACAATAGATTAATTTATTTTTTTTATTAAATACAAAAAACTTATTTTTAATCTTAACATTGAAACTGTAATATCTAATAAAGTTTTGTTTTACAATTGTCTATTATAATTGTTACATTTTAATATTTGTCTTTTTTCTGGAATTATAAAAAAAATTATATAAAAATTTTGTTATTTTTATAATAATTATAACTTTATTATCTAATATGTAAAAACAAAAAAATTAAATAATATATTTTTAAATTATTTTCTTTATTTGTTATATAATATAATAACTATTTTTTTAGTTTTCGAAACTATAACACATACACACATCAACTATAATTAGCTTATAATTATTGTTATTACTTTTTTAAAAATATTTATATTAGTCATATATATAAAACAGTAATTTTAAAATAGTTAAAATAGTACCTAAAAAATTATATTTATTTTATCAAAATTAGTTTTAGATACTGTATACTTTATTTAGTTATAATTTATTTTAAATATACAGTTTAATTTTGTTAAATTTTTTATTAGTTATTTTCAAATCATTATAGTTAAAAATATAAATAAATAAAACTATAATTTTAATTATTATTCAACACACGACACACTCAATTGAATATTATTTATATGAAATATAAAATAAATAAAAAATTTGCTAAAATATAATTTGAGTCATTAGTATCATATCATTAATTAAATTTTTAACAATTAGTTTTAAATTCTATTATATAACTATTATTTCATTTGTAATATATTTAATAATATGAATTAATTATAAATAAAAAACACCACATTTATCTCAGCTAAACTTAATTTTTATAATATATTTAAAATTATAAACAAAAAAAATAATTTAATTATAATTATTATTAATATATTAACAACGTTTAATAAACGCTTTATTTTAAATAAGTGTTTGTAATAATCTATTTTCATCAAAAATTTTTATTATATTTGACTATATTTGATATTATTATTAATCTGTTAAAATTTTATTTGATGAAAATTATTTTACTAAATAATATAAATAAAAATATATTTTAAAATAAAATAAAGGCTTCATAATCTTCAACTCAACAAAATTTTTTATACATTAATATTTAAATCAAAAATAACTTTAATAACTATATTTACAGTTTATTTTATTTGTAAATGTATAAAATAGCATAATATTTAAAAAGTTAATTTAACTGTAATTATTTAATCATATTAAATAAGTTTAATAAATGCTTACTTTTAAATGTTTGTAATAATCTATTTATAATCATTATAATAATAATATTAATAACTATATTAATAAACTGTAAATTATAAATAAAAACATTAATGTATAATTTATTATTTAATTAGTTAAAATTTGTAGATTAAATGACCCGGATCATATCAGAACAATATATTTTTTTTCAATTTTAATTAAAATTTTAAAACAAACAGCTACAATAAAACTGCAATTTTAATCTTTAATATATTTAGTAATTTTTCAAATTTAATTTAATATTTTTATTATATAAATAGGATTGATATTAAAAATTATTTTTTTAAATAAAATATATTTTTAAAAAACTAATTATAAATAAAATAATTTTTTTCTACACTTTATTGCTAAATTTAATTTATTATAATTTAATATCTATATTAAAAATTAATTTATTAGCTATTTTTTACAATATTTAAACAATATATATTTGCAATATACAATATATATTTATATATACATAAAAGAGCAATTAATTTTTTTTTTGATTAACAATACAATTATTTTAATTAACAGAAAAAAATAATTAAAATAATAAAAATTGATTTTTTTAAATATCAAATCTGGTCTTATAAAGTTAAACTATATTCATGAATATATTAAATAAGTAAAATAAAAATATATCTAAAAAATTAAATTAGAAATAATTTATAATTACTTTTTTTTGTTTTTCTATTATAATTTATTATAAATCAATATCCAATATTGAAAATAAATTTACTTACAATTTTTAATAAGTAATATACTATAGACTATATACTATAGACTATACTGTACATATATAAATAATTATTTTCAAATTATTAAGTTTATTTTTTAAAAAAATTTAATTATTTATAAATATAATTAATTGGTTAAAATTATTTTTTTATAATTAAATAATTTTTATTTACTATAAATAAATTTTACTAAAAATTTTGTTTTTTTTATTTAAAAAAACTGTATATTAGTTTATAATTATGTAGTTTAACTGTTAAATAATTAATAAATAATTTACTATTAGCACCTATAGAGTTTAAAGTAATTTATAGATAATTTTTATCTATTTTTTAATATTAAAATAATAATAAATAAATATTTTATTTTTATGTTGTTGTTGTTGTTGTTGTTGTAAATAAATTAAGTTACTAACTAATATATAATCAACTATAATTTAACTTAAAGTTTAGCAAATATATATAAATATATATTTGTATAAATAATTATTTTCAAATTATAAAGTTTATTTTATTTTTTAAAAATTTATTTATAAATATAATTAATTTTTTTTAAAATAAAATTAATTATTAATTGCCTTAATTAACTAAACAATTATTTAAGATCCGTATATAACTCTTTAGGCCATTTCATATACGCTGTCCAACCGATACACCAGTCATACGATTGGGGGATATTTGAATGACTGATCCTGAAGTAGATCACTGGCCCTATACGGCCAATGAGGTTCATTGAGGAACGCCCTACCAATGAATATAAATGTTGCGCTGTTATCCTTGAGTAGACGTTCAGCTAACATGGTATCAATAATTTTGCCGACAGCTATGGTCGGTAGTCCCGATTCACGCTGTATGACTGCCGAAGCCGAGTGCTGCTGTCGGGCCGTATTTAAGGGCGAGTAGTCTATATTGTTGACAACACCACCTGAACTGACATCAACTAAATCAACTCCCAGTGCAACCATAAATTGCTTTATATATATATATAAATATATATAGAAAGGGAGAGAGAGAGAGAGAGAGAGAGAGAGAGAGAGAGAAAGAGAGAGAGAGAGAGAGAGAGATAATAAGCTATATAAAATATAATTAAATTTTAGGTTAAAAAATTAATAAATTTAATTAAATACTAATATTATACAGTTAAAAAATAATACATTAGATTATTTTACAATTTTAAATAAAAATAAATAATTCATAAAACTTTGATTTTCAAACAAAAACTTAAAATATGAATAACTGTAAATTGAATTGAATTTTTTTTAATATAAGTTATTAATTATTTAGTTTAGTTTTTTAAATAGTAGGCCAAAGATTGTGTTAAAAACTTTAATAATAATTTTGTTAGATTCAAATTGATTTATAGTTGATAAGCTAAGTATTACTTGCAATATTATTAATATATTAGTTGTTAATAATTGATAATTTATTTTATTAAAATCAAAAAAAAATATTTATATATGTTAGTACTTTAAGTGCCTCTAAATTAATGATAGTTTTTTTTAACTAAAATAACATCATTACTGTATATATATATTGTATTTGTGAATTTTATAAATATAAAAATTAAATAATTTACAAAATATTTTTAACAAATATAAATGTCCAATAAAATTTTTTATAATATTTTATTTCAAAAATTTTTCAAAATAAAGTAAAAGTATGTAAAGTTATAATAATTAAACTCTAATATATTATTAAATTATTAATTAATAAATTTTTAAAAAATAAACTGTAAATAAATTTAAAAATACAAAAAATTAGTTTAATATAAGTTTAGTTTATTTTACTTTTGATCATACCTAACAATCAAATTTGATAGGTTTTATAAAAATAAATTTTATTATTTGATATAATTTTAAATATTTTTTTACAAATTTGCTTAATTTTCAGTAACCATAATATATGCAAACAATTACAGTAAAAAAAAATTATTAAAATAATAATTAAAAAAGATTATTGTATTTTTTATAATTATATAATTTTTATTTACTAAAAAATTTGTTTTTTTAATTAAAAATAAAAACTCTATATTAGTTTATAATTATTAAGTTTAACTGTTAAAAAAATTAATAAATAATTTACTATTAGGTCCTTAACAAATGCAAATAATTTATATATAATTATTTTCAAATTATTAAATTTATTTTTAAAAAAATTTAATTTATATATAACTATAATTAATTTGTTAAAATAATTATTAATTAATTGTTAATCGCCATTAACTATACTATTATTTTTATCCGTGTATAACATATTTCTCCACTTGAAATATGCTGTCCAACCGATACACCAGTCATACGTTGGGGGATATTTGAATGACCGGTCCTTAAGTAGATCACTGGCCCTATACGGCCAATGAGGTTCATTGAGGAACGCCCTACCAATGAATACAAATGTCGACACGTTATCCTTGAGTAGACGTTCAGCTAATATGGGATCAATAATTTTGCCGACAGCTGCTGTCAGTAATCCCGATTCACGCTGTATGACTGCCGAAGCCGAGTGTTGTTGTCGGGCTGTATTCAGGGGCGAGTAGTCTATATTGTTGACAACACCACCGGAGCTGACATCAACTAAATCAACTCCCAGTTCTTTCAATTGTTTAGAAAATTCAACCGATTGTTTCAGTTCCCAACCGTTATCTGTGTAATCGGTAAACGATATCCGGACGGCCAGTACTATATGGTTAGGTATGGCTGTCCGGACTTTGTCGACAATTTCCAGTCCAAATCGCATACGATTTTCCAATGAACCGCCATATTTGTCCTGTCGTTGATTGGTTAGGGGCGATAGGAAGGTGCTTACTAGATAGCCATGGGCAAAATGTAGTTCAATAAACTACAATTAAAAATAAAAAAAAACAAAATTTAAAAAAAATTGTATATTTTTTTAAATAAAATAACTTTAAATAAAAAAAACTTAGGATAAAAATTAATTAAATGCTCAATAGTTAACCATTGGCAAAATGTAGTTTAATAAACTAATGTATTATAATTTTTTTACTTAAATATTTTTTAATTTTTTTTAATTGTTTAAATAACTGTAACACTAACTTAAATTATATAATTTTAATTATAAATGATTTGAGTTTATTATAGAATTAGATTGTAAATGCTGGTATTTTTTTTTTAATTTTTAAAAAAATGACAAAGAAAAATTTTAAAAAAATTAATAATTAATAAATAATTAATATTTTTTTTGATATTTTTTTCTTAAAATAAACTAACTGTAAATTAAATAGAAATTTATTTTAAATATAACTTATTACTAATTTTCTTTAATCATAAATAGTAGATCATAGTAAGCATTATAAAATATAATAAAAAAATTTTAGGCTAAAAATTAATAAATTTTTATTAATACTGATGACTAAAACAGTTTAATGTAATAATAATATATTAGTATATTTTATAATTTTTAAATAAAACAAATAATTGAAAATTTTTATGTTTACTTATAGTTTTATTATTTAATATTATTGATGTTTATTACTATTTTATTTAATTTTATTTTCTAAAAAAAAATTTTTCTAAATTTATAAAATTATAAATCTACAAGTTTATACATTATATGCTATTTTATATATACAGTATACTTATTTACTGTTTACTATCAATACTTTTATTAAAAGTTTTAAATATATTTAATAATATCATATATTTAAGATAATAGTAACAGTATTTATATTTTTTGTTTAAAAAAAACACAACAAAACTAACCTCAAACCCGGCCCTAACAGCCCTCTGAGCTGCCGATGCAAAGGCATCGCCGATTACCTCCAGATCGCCAACAGTCGCAGCAATCGGTACTTTCATTTGCTGACTAAACGCCATAGCCGTGGGTCCGACTGTATCCCAACCGCCCTGACTAGTGGCCAACGATTGATACGATCGGGACTCTGGGGTAGTACTAGCCTTACGGCCGGCGTGTCCCAGTTGTATACCCGGTACACAACCCTGTGACCGTAGCAAACGGGTTATACGACTCCACGGCTCTACCTGTTGGTCCGACCACAGGCCCGTATCGGCCAACGATATGCGACCCCTGGGCTCGACCGCTGTAGCTTCGCATACGACTAGGCCGGCACCGCCCAGAGCAAACTGGCCATAGTGTGCCAAATGAAAATCTAGGGGTAGGCCGTCCTCCCCGGCCATCCAGGTGCCCATCGGTGATACGCCGATACGATTTTTAAATGTCGTCCCTTTGATGGTCAACGGTTCAAACAGTTTGGACACCACTGGTTGCGGTTGTTTACTATCGGTAGTCATAATTGATTGTAAATTGTTTGTTGATTTACTTATTATTTTTTTTAGTGATAATATTAAATATTAAATTTACACTATTAATAATAATAATAATAATAAACGATATAAAAAAATTAAAAATTTACTTATTATACATAATATTATTATATTTGTGTAAAATTTTGCGATAATATTAATTATTAAATACACTATTAATAATAATAATAACAAAAATAAACGATATTAAAAAAATTAAAAATTTACTTATTATACATAATATTATTAAATATTATTATTATTATATTTGTATTAAAATAATCAAATAAATAATTAAATAAAAATTGTATTTTTAATAATCAAAAAATAATTAATAACTAATATTTTATAAAATTAAAAAATTACTTTATTATACACACATTTAAGTCTAAAATATTTATTTATTTATTTTTAATAATTTAGTACTTATTGAACTTAAATTTTTTTGATAGATTCAAATTGATTTAGTTGCTAGGCTAGTTTTGATAAAACAATATTATTAATGTTATATTATATTATAAATATTAAATATTAGTTAACTTGTTAACCTTGATAATTTTTAGTTTTTTTTTGATAAAACAATATATACTGTTTATGTTAGTACTTTAAGTGCATTTTCAAGTAATGTTAGTTTTTTCTGTTAACTAAATTAACATAAATAACAACATTATACTGTATTTGTGGACTTTTATAAAAAAAATAAAAAAAATAAATAATCTATAAAATATTGTTTTTTTATAATAGTTTATTTCTAAAAAAAATTTAAAAATAAATAATAGTATGTAAAGTTTAAGATAAACTCTAATATATTATTAAATTTAAAATTAATAAATTTTTCGAAAAATAAACTGTAAATCAATTTAAAATTATAAAAATATTTTAATTTGATTTTTGTTTATTTTACTATTGACCTAACATATCATATGGCCATAACTTAATTGCCCATATATTTTATTATATTTTGTGGGGGGCGTGGGGGCCAATTTAGTCATGGCCATATCATACTGATAGATAAGTTTTATAAAAATAATATTTTTAAAAATAGTTTTTACAGATTTGTTTTTTTAAATATATATAATTATTTAAAATTAGTTTTTAAATAAACTCTAATTAAGTTTATAATTATTAAATTAAAATGATATTTAATATTAAATAAAATACTCATAACTTATATATAACCTCTAAGTATTTTTTATTATTTAAATAATAATAAATAAATAAATATACTAGTATAAATAAATTGTATTCAAATTATTAAGTTGTAAAATTTTTTTTATTTATAACTATATAATTAATCTGTTAAAAAAATAATATTTTAATAATATTAAAATTAATTAATTAATTGCCATTAACTATAGTATTATTATTAGTATTATTATTTTGATCGGTATATAACTCTTTACGCCATTTGAAAAATGCTGTCCAACCGATACACCAGTCATACGATTGGGGATATTTGAATGACTGATCCTGGAGTAGATCACTGGCCCTATACGGCCAATGAGCTTCATTGAGGAACGCCCTACCAATGAATACAAATGTCGATACGTTATCCTTGAGTAGACGTTCAGCAAACAAGGGATCAATAATTTTGCCGACAGCTGCGGTCGGTAGACCAGAATCACGCTGTATGACTGCCGCGGCCGAGTGCTGCTGATCGGCCGTATTGAACGGCGAGTAGTCTATACCGCCGATAATACCACCTGAGCTAACATCAACCAAATCAACTCCATGTGCTTTCAATTGTTTAGCAAATTCAACCGATTGTTTCAGTTCCCATCCATCGTCGGCATAATCGGTAAACGATATCCGGACGGCCAGTACTATATCGTTAGGTATGGCAACCCTAACTTTGTCGACAATTTCCAGTCCAAATCGCATACGATTTTCCAGTGAACCGCCATATTTATCTTGACGTTGATTGGTTAGGGGCGATAGGAAGGTGCTCAATAGATAACCATGGGCAAAATGTAGTTCAATAAACTGTTATCAATGTAGTTTTTAAAAATAAAAAGTTATTAATTTAAATAAAAAAAAGTTATTAATTTAAATAAAAAAAGTTATTAATTTAAATAAAAAAAAGTTCTTAATTTAAATAAAAAAAAGTCATTAATTTAAATAAAAAAAATTGTTATTAAAAAAACTGTTTAGTTTTGTTGTTGTTGTTGTTTAAATAACTGTAACTTAAATTAAATAATTTTAATTATAATTTATTAATTAATTGAACTTATAATTAAACTAGATTTGAAAACTAGCCTTGTTTGTTTTATTTATTTATTTTTTTAAAAAATCTTATATTATATAAAATTATTTTAAAAAATCTATAGTTAAATATTTGAGCAATTTAATTTTATTATTTAGAATGTGTAACATTTACTAAATTATATATTTATTATCATTATTTTAATAAAAAAAAATATTAATTAATTAATTAAATTAATTTATAAATGATAATCTAATAATAACTGTAAATTTAATTTAAAATTTAAAATCAAACTTAACATTATTATAGTTTGTTTATAATCTAGTATATTTAATAAGGTAAATTTATTATTTTTAACTATAACATATATAGCACTTAATAAATTATAGATTTGTAACTTATTAATAAAAATATTTTTTAAAAAATTAGTTAATTAGTATTTTAATCTAATATTATAATTTTGATATGTCTAGACCAATTTTGATATTATATTTATAATATATTTTTTGTAATTTATTTAATAGACTTTTTTTGTTTAATAATAATAATAATATATTTTTTTTGAACAAACAAAAAATTAATCAATTAGTATATTATAATTTATATATTTAAATATATAATAATAATAATAATAATTAGATAAATATCAAACTAACCTCAAACCCGGCCCTAACGGCCCTCTGAGCTGCCGATGCAAAGGCATCGCCGATGACCTCCAGATCGACAACAGTCGCCGCTTTCGGTTCTTTAATTTGGTCGCTAAAGGCCAGACCCGAGGGTCCGACTGTATCCCAACCGCCCTGACTAGTGGCCAACGATTGACTGGATCGGGACTCTACTGATGTACTGGCCTTACGGCCGGCGTGTGCCAACTGTATGCCCGGTACACAACCGAGTGACCGAAGCAAATCGGTTACCCGACGCCACGGTTGGACATGTTTGTCCGACCAGAGGCCAGTATCGGCCGCTGTTATCCGTCCGCGTGGTTCGACAGCTGTAGCTTCGCATACGACTAGGCCGGCACCGCCTAATGCAAACTGGCCGTAGTGTGCCAAATGAAAATCCACGGGTAGGCCGTCCTCTTTGGCCGCCCATGTGACCATCGGTGATACGCCGATACGATTTTTAAATTGAGTCCGTTTGATGGTCAGCGGCTCAAACAGTTTGGACACCACTTGTGGCGGTTGTTGTTTACTATCGGTGCTCATAATTATTGGATTTTTTTAATTTCAAATAATATATATTATATTATATTATTAAAAAATTATTGTACACTTATTTAAAAAATAAAGTAAAAATAATAATAATAATTTTGGTTTTACTGTATTAGCTCACACACTATATATACTGTATATATAATATGTTTTAATATGACTTTATATAAAAAAATAAAATCAATTATTATATATTATTATTATTGCACTTTTTTATGTCATAATATTTTATCTTAATATTTTTTTTGTTTGTAATAGTTATTATTTATTGTACTAAACTATATATATATATAGTATATATTTTTTTATAGTTTAGTACTTAAAGCACTTAGTTTGTCACGTTAAAGCACTTATTAAAATAGTTTAGTAAAATATAATTAATATTTTTAGTAAAAATTAACTTAACATTAAAAAATATGATACTTTAGGTAAACTCTTTTTATAAATTTTTTAATAAAATTATTGTAAATTATTTTTTAAAATAAAATCTTACATTTTTTTTAAATTGTTTAAAAATTACAGTAAAATCTAGAAATTTTCAATATAGGTATTATACTGTACTTATATTTATTTATCAAATATATTAATCTATTAATACAAAAAATAATTGAAATATTTTTTTAAGTGCAAAAGCTAAACAATTAATGTAATATTATTTTCTTATTATTGTACTAAACTGTATATATATATATATATATATATATATATTTATATATATATAGTATATATTTTTTATAGTTTAGTACTTAAAGCACTTAGTTTGTTACGTTAAAGCACTTATTAAAATAGTTTAGTAAAATATAATTAATATTTTTAGTAAAAATTAACTTAACATTTAAAAAATATGAGACTTTGGTTAAACTCTATTTATAAATTTTTTTTAATAAAATAGTTGTAAATAATTTTTTAAAATAAAATCTTACAGTTTTTTTTAAAAAATTGTTTAAAAATTACAGTAAAATCAAAAGTTTTCAATATAGGTATTATATTATACTTATATTTATTTATCAAATATATTAATCTATTAATACAAAAAATAATTGAAATATTTTTTTAAGTGCAAAAGCTAAACAATTAATGTAATATTATTTTCTTTAATAATATTTTTAATTATAAGGTTAAAAAAATTGTGTAAAATATTTCGGCGAAAAAAAGCTAAATAAATATAAATTAAAATATTTATTTAAAAAATTATAATTGTTGATTAATTTATTAAAAAAGTATTTTATTTTTGTTTATATTAATATTATTATAAAAAAAAATTTTTTATCTAACCCATTGACATTTCAATTAGCATTACTTAATATTTATATATTGTAGTAAAACGTTTAATACCTCACATAACAAAAATTGAGTAAATATTATATTAATTAACTTATATGACCTTGATATTTAGATTTTATTAATACAATACAATATATAGTATTATTAAGCACTCAATGAGCACTTTATGAGATGAAAATTATTTATTTGCTATCAAAATCTACTTATCATTAATAACGTAATAAATATATAACAATTCAATGTTATCTATTATATTAATAAACCAAAAAATATATATATTTTAATACTATAATTACTAATACAATATAGTATTATCTAATAACTAAATAATTTTAATTAGTTTTGAAATTAAATAATTTTTAAGAAATTGTTTTAAATTAAAAAAAATATCTATTAATAAAATTAGTTTTAATTTATTATTAAAAAATATATATAATTGAAATGAAAAATAAATTTAAACTGTAAAGTTTGTTAATTTCTTTAAAATACTTAAAATAGAAGTTTAAAATATATAAGTAGTCCGCATACAATAGATATTTTAAAAAATATTTTATAATTATATATTATTATATTTAATTAAAATCAAAATTACAATTAACCAGTTTTAAATCATAACTAATTAATTTTTTAAAATAAATAAATAAAAATAAATATCTAATTCAAGTTTCATAATTATCAAATTTTAATTTAAAAGTTTAAATTAAAAAAATATTAAAATTAACAAATTATGTTATTAAATATTTTTATGTAAAAATTTATTAATATTTCAATTTTTCAAATTTTTCAAGTATATATTTTTAATAATTATAATAAATAGTTAAAATTAATGTAAGTAAAAATAATTAGTATTATTTTTAATATTTAATTTTAAAAAATGTTATAATATAACTAATAGTTTATTTATATTTACTTATTTCTTTAAATAAATAACATTTATTATGTTATTAAAGATAAATTATTAATAAATATATATATATATATAGTATTACTTAAAATACACTCTCAATGTGATACTAAATAATTTAAATATCAAAGTTAATTATTTGATATTATCTTTATATTATATGCACTTTTTAATCTTTAAGTTTATTAGATAATATTATACACTTGTTGAAATATGCGTAACTAATTAATTAAATTAATTAAATTAATTAAAAATATTATTATTTATTATCTTAACTAATTGTTAATTTAAGTTAATTTCATTGCCCACAAAAAAAACATACATAAAGTACATAAAAAATAAATATTATTACATAAATTATTATAATTTAAAAAATAATTAATTTAATACAAGATAATGTAATTGAAATAATTTACTATTGTATTTACATTAGATTTATAATAAACAAAAAGCTAGAATTTAATTTGTATTTTATTTTATCAAAAATATAATTTGATAAAATATTTGATTATTAATTACAATTTAATTATAATATGATAGTTAATTTAGAACTTGTTTTTTAATATAACATTATATTAATATATTTTTAGCTGATTATAAATAAGTCCGATAATACTTTAAGCAAATTGTTAAAAATTACTTACATAATTATTAATATATTTTAGTATTCAAACTGTAAATTAATATTAACTTTAGTTAATAAATTAATATGTACATAAGTTTAATAAACTTTTATTAGCCGTCTATTTTAAAATTTATTTTTTTTTGGGACATGATAAAATCAAAATAATTAACAATTATAAATATTTATAAAAATTGATATAATAATAATAACAATTAAATTTAATATTGTAAATTTTTAAATTTAAATTTTAAAAGTATTTATTGTTAATTAAATTAAATATTGTTTGTGTTTTTTGTTGTTGATCATTTTGTTTTAACTATATATAACAGATAAATTAATTATAAAAAAATATTAATTTCAATCCCGTTAATATTTTAAGCTAGTAAGTTAAAATTATAATTTATTTTCAAGTTGTTAATTAAAATAAAAGATAATGAATAACTTATAATGAAAGTTTAATATTATATTTTTAGTATTCCCTAAAATATTTCTAAAAATAATTAATTTCTACAAAAATGGTAAAAAATTATCTAACATTTTTATTTTGCTTATAAAAACTCAAAATAGTAAATTTATGAGATTAATAATTAACGGTATCTATTATAATAGGAAACAGTTTATTATTATTATTATTATTACATTTTATTATCAAACTGTAAATTAATATCAATTATTATTAATAACTTATTTAAAAATTTAATTTAATTTAATTAGCATATTACAAAACCTGTCTTATTCAATTTCAAAAATAAGTATATTAATATAATTTTATTTTTAATAATTTTTGTTTATAATTTACGTATCTAAAAATAATAAATATTTAGTCTAGTTATTGAATAAATCTATTAAAAAATGATAAATTATTTATTTAAAAATATAATTATAATAACTTATTTATTAGTATAGCATTATAATCAAACCAATCTAAATCACTTATGTAACAGTATATATTTTTTGATGTAATATTTAAATTTTAATAGATTTTTAAATTAGTTTAACGATATTATAGGATGATATTATTTTTTAAATAATTGTTTCTTTATTAATATAATTAAAATATTTAAAAATCAATAATTTGTTTAACTATTATTTTAGTTTAAAAATTTAAAAAAATGTATTTATGTAATCATTGATTTACATATAATTTATTTATTTTTAAAAATATATATAATTTAGTTTTATATATAATATTTAAATCAAATTAATAAATATTATATTATAAAATATGAATTATTATAATACTGTTTATAATATTTTTTTTTAGTAAAATATCTAGTTTTGTATAAAAATTATTACATATATATATATAAATTAACATATTTTGTCTAATAAAATGTCGTTTTATAAATTAATTAATTTATCAATTAATCTAATCATTAATTATACTGTTCAATAAATTAACGATACAATTGTTATTAATAACAATATTTATTAAGTATTATTTAGTAGTTAGTTGTAAAAAATTATAATATTAAATATTATAATTTACATATTATTGCATTTTATTATCAAACTGTAAATTAATATCAACTATAATTAATAGTTTATTTAAAAGTTAAATAGTATTTTAATAGTATATGAGAATGACAATTAGCAATAAGTTTTTTTTTAATTTTTTCAATTATTTGTAAAAATAAACTAATTAATTTTTACAATTATGTTGCCAATAAAAAATTTTTTTATAATAATATTGCAATAGTGGGTCAAAATTTATGATACAAAATGCACTTAGAAATTATTATTAAATAATTTTTTAAAAATTTTTTCCTTATATTATACAACACATAAGTAACAAACAAAATAAACGATATTTTATAATTAATAAACATTTACATGTATTTATTAAAATATTGAAATTTTGTTTGTTATAATTTTATATTATTTATATTGAAGCCAAGGTTGTATTTACTAATTATATTGTAATGAATTTTTGTTTTATTTTTCTCTGAAAAATTATTGCAAAAATTATCATTATTTTTTTGTTAAAAATTTATAAAAGCACTAAAATGTTATATTGAAAATCTAAAGGTAAACACCTTGTTTTTAACAGAGTTTTATTTTGTTTTTATTCAATATTGCAGTGTTAAAATAATGCACTGAAATGTTATATAAAAAAGTGAATAGTAAACTCCTAGTTTTAATAGTGATTAAAACCTGACTCAATGTGACACACTTTTTCCT